TTAAGGACGTTCATTGGCATTGGATTCCGTGATGTCAATTCGATGAAATTTTTTGGGGAAATACGCGATGACATAAACTTGCAAAAAAGCGATAAAAAAGTGGAGGTCACCGGCTTCATTTTAGAGATAATTCTTGCACAAAATCACCAAAATTGTCAAAGAAAAGCGCGCGAAAAGGGGTCGATGCCGTCTACCAAAAAACTTCCCGAAAAATATAAAACACATATCAATTGATCCAAATTTTTCCACAAAAGCTGAGGTCGATAATTGTTAATATTGTTTACGAGACTTTGAAACATTACATGATGTGATTTTTGATTTCTTTAGGACTTTTGTTCGTGTAAGGCCGCTACATTCGACGTCAAGAATAGGTGTCATTTCCAGCTAAAACTGCTATATTTTAGAAACCTCTGTTGTCGTTTTTTCCGCTTTCACATATGTTATRTTTTTTCCAAGTAGCCTTCTTTTAAGATAAATAGAAATTGGGGTTACCGGGTTCGTTGTCAAAATATTTCGTGTCGAAATCTTAGATTTTGCAGGCCATCTTGAATTGCGAGAGACTTTTTTCTGCCAATCTACGACTTTTTAGAGAATTTTCAACACTTTTTCGCCTCATCAATTCTTTAGCAGTAGTAAATCTCTCATTTTTTGAACACGAAGACATTTTTCATTCAAGTTGAAGTTCAGAAAAGTACGTACAAAACCTCATAAACACATAACAAGAGCGGTCGCCATCTTTGTTTTGCGTGATGCAATTTCGTGACAACTTCCGGTTTGGGCGTGCGCAGAAAGCGTGCGCAGTAGCAATGCCCTCGAACGTCCTTAATGTCATTTTTGTGGTAAAATTCTCAGTAGAGTCGAACAGACCAGCAAAACGAGATAAATTTGCAAACTAAAGCTGTGAAAACCTACCTGATATTGTTCCTATAAGAATTAAAAGAGCTATAGCCAGTAAATATCCGCKTTTGTGCCTAATTTGAGCGAAAACAAAACGAATAGAGCTCTGCTTTGCGACGGTCATAATTTCAGGCTTTTTGAAAGTCCCGGCCCGTGAAAAAGACAGACTCTTTCGAAGATTYCGACTGGATAACGATTTGACCAATCAAGTGATACGTAATAAAATACCACAGGTAGCCCAGGGAAACGGAATGCGAAAATATTTAAGGTCATTTAGGGAAGGTACGTTTATTATTGGGGGGGGGAAGTCTCAGGCTATACCAAAGTTTGCAGAAAAAGCACGCTATTATTCACACTAATGGGATGGGCAAAACAAGCCACCTAAAGTTTTGATGAAAAAAGAGTTCACACAGATCGGTGATGAGTTTCCCCATCATATTTTTGCAGCATTTCCAATAATCTTTTTCTTGTTGTCGATACTGATCAAAGCGAAAAGTCATCCTGTTTTCCTTTTTTCTTTTTCCTAAAAAGTAACTTGCTTTTTATCCTTCGCAAATCGATTTCCCGGACGCGCAAACGTGTAGTAGAAGCTATGGCAAAAATGACCGGAATCCCTGTGCTTTGATTTCGCTCTCCTGAGGTTTTTGTCATGTGATTGRTTTTCTAATATTATCGCAAAAATTACTTGCCGCAAAAAGATTTTGAATATTGGATGAATTTCCGATGTTTAACGTTATTTGGAACTTCCCTACTGTTCGGAGAAATGCGCTCTCTTTGAAATCAGGGGCTTGGTCCGAATGTGACGTCTACTAAGGAATCATCTCTCGTATTTCCAGAGCCTTTCATATTAAATGGGGGAGATTCGAAGGTATTCATTTATATTAATATAAACGCCTGTCTTTCTCTATTTTCCAAAATTGGTAGCCCGACTTCACGCTCTAAGAGCGTCTAGTTTGGTGATATTTCACCTAATTAGTCCAGTCAAACTACGGTTTGACCTAGAACAAATTGCAATAGAAACTCTTTCATCACGAATCTTTCGTAGATGTCATCAGAAACAACATATCAAAAATCGTATTTAATCCGAGTGATGCAACACTTTCAAAATTGCCAAATCTCTCCTTTAACATGTAAACGAGGCTAAAACCGGAAGATGCACTAAAATTGCGCAAACATTCTCAATAAACAAATATCAACAATTACCTCCATTAAGATAGTGTTTGAAGCCGGGGGGGTTTCAATATTCAGTGCTGATTTACTGATTATGCTGATGATATGCTAATGAGCCGAAATGTAAACAAATTATTCGCCTATGAAACAAACAAGAGAGTTGAGGTCGGCTTCAAGGTTCCTGCCAAAAGTCGTTGAAAACAACCACAGGGCGCCAAAGCACTTGTGTTACTGTCAAGACGACGTCTGCAAGTTATTTCCCTGGGAGTATGAAAAGTGCTGGGTTAAAATGCATTGTGTAAGTTAGTGTGAATTTATAGGCATAGCGGCAATCCATTATCAATGCAAATYATGTTATGATTTTTTTTTTGACAAACACTGTGTACGGACTAACTCTTTCGGAAACAAAAACGATGGAGAAAACACATCAAGGAGAAAGGGACCTTCATTCCCAAGGAAGACCCGCAAGAATATCTCCTATCGATAATRCATTCTGTTTGGAAAAATCGCTGCATTGTCGTCATAGTTGGTCTAAGGATTCCTGAATTACTCTGCAACAGCGAAAGCTCATCCATGAGTATCGAAGAGATTGCTACAAAGTCAGGTTGTCAGACAAGTGCGCAGCTATACGCCGTCATGAGAGTTCTCGCTCAATGGGGAATTGGTGAAGAGCTGGAAAATAAGCATTTCGCTAAGAATCAAACCATGGAACTATTAAGACGAGACAAAGGTCCAAGCTTGGGTCATATGTTTGGTTATTTTGCCAGCGAGGAACACTTCAGTGCCTTGAGATCGTTGGGAGCGTGCGTGAAGCAAGGCAAACCTGCCTTCATTCTCSACCACGGAATGACTCAATTCACGTACATGTATGACCTGGAAAAATGCTATGATCAAGCAAAGGTGTTTGAAGGATCGTCGGAGCACAAGATAGGAAGCGACGATCGCAGACGGGAGTTCGCCGAGAATTACTCAAGAGCCATGGAATATATTTCGTTCATTTCAATATTTCCAAGCAAAAGTTATGTAGGAAATGTTTACAATGTTTTTCCTTGGTCAAATTGCAACAAACTGGTGGACGTCGGAGGAAGTCTGGGCGGTTTTCTTGCTTCCATCCTAAAATTGCCAGGCTGCGAGCACATCAAAGGATATGTTCTTGATTTGCCAAATGCAGTATACAAGAAGCCAAAACAAAGATCCAAGATCTTGGCATTCCTGAACACCGCATTGAGTTTATCAAGCAGGATTTTAGCAAGTCCTTCCCGAATGACCTCGGTCTGCAGGCTGATACAGTTGTCATCAAGAATACATTGAGCATGTTCATAGATGACCACAATTTGATGAGAAAGATCCTGAGCAACTGCTGTCAACTATTTTGCTCTAAAGGTGGAAGACTTGTAAAAGTTGATGATCTTGCACCTGACGTGACAAATGCTGCCGGAATCACAGGACCTGCAACTCGCCTCTTTGACAAGAAAGAATGGGTGGAACACCTCCACGATGTTGGCAAGGAAATGGGATACCAAGTCGAGCACATCTATGATACACTTGCTGGAGGAATGGCTATTTTTGATCTTTCGTACACACCAAATTATATAAAGATAGCTAATGCCTTGGAAAGAAAATAAACAATGTACATTTCTTACCGTATAGTTTGGTAATAAATCTAATGACACAGTAAAGCTGCAGTATAGCGAACAACATTATACTTTACTACAGTGAATCTGCAGCATCAACTCCCAGGAAAGAACATGTACTTTACTAACCTAATACTTTGACACATAAATTCAAATCAATTGTTTTAATGCACTAGCGTATTACATGCATATTAGTCTAACAAGTTTTATTAAAAATTTTCCAAAATTCATGTACCATTTTGATTTTTGTTTAATACACAGTGACTAGCATTGGACGCAAACTGAAATTTAACCTCTAGGTATAACTGGCTCCTGGTGGGAATAATCGTGACATTATGCAAATTGTTTTCTATTCTCTCTGCTAGTCACGAAATGTCATAAAAGTGAGCATTGGCATTCGTAGTTTAATATCAAAACTTATTTTTAAATTAGCCTTTTCTCTTTAGTATTTTGTGTGGGTCATGCCTTTGCCTTTTTTGCAATTGAGGAACATTTCAGTGCCCTGAGATCGTTGGGAACATGTGATAAAACAAGGTAACTTGCATTTATTAGAGGGTCTCAATGGGGTTAACCGTGAGCCGTGAAACGGCTAAAAAATTAGCCGTGAATCGTAAAAATGAGACAAATTAGCCGTGAAACGGCTGAAAAATTAGCCGTGAGTCGTGGAAATGTGAACAAAATTAGCCGTGAGGCGTGAAAAAGCCAAATTTTTAGCCGTGAGTCGTGATGCGGACCCCCCCATTGAGACCCTCAATGGAACACGGCATGCATCACTTCACGTACGCTTTGATCAAGCAAAGGTTTTTGAAGCATGTGAAGAATCGTCTGCTCATGAGATAGGATGCGATGATCCAATTGATGATCGTAGAACGAAGTTCGCGCAGAGATTAAAAACTTGTTGTATGATTCGTTATGTTTATTGAATACAGTATATTGTAATACATATATGTACAACGAAAAATCGTGTACAAGTTGCTTTATACACTTCTGTATAAATTAAGTAACTTGTCAAGACTTGTACACGGTTTTTCGTTGTGGTTCCACTTGAATGTTGACCATTTTATGAGGCCAAGAGCAGGCTGGTTAATTAAGAGTGTGTCAACTAGACGCTCTTAGAGCGTGAACTCGGGCTAGATTTCGTGGAAATTGAGAAAGACAGGATATTACATGGGTGCGCGGTATCGCGAACGCTCAAAAGATTTTTAACACGATAAGAGCGTCCATGTTATATCCTGCCTATCATATGACTGTATATGAAAGTAAACGAGAACCACTACGTGGAACTTACCGGTTATGTACTTCTGTTTATACCACATTTTAAGTCTAAAAGTGAGACCGTCGAAAATTATACAAATTAGGTCAATTTTGTTTTTCACTTCACAGCATTAAAATGACAAAAAAAAGGTTTTTTTATAGTTAGTTACCTGAAAACCCAACCTCGTTCCCAGAAACCGACTTTGTTGGAGTTGGACAGGAGACTAGTCACCAGTCTTTCCTTAAATTCAATTTCAAAATGGCGGCCAGTGAGGCGAGAAATAAAGTGTTAGCAAAACTGAATGCAATTGCCGACGTAGAAATCGACGATAAAGGAAAATTTAAGTATATTCTTATAAGAATCAAAGACAGTAACGATGACAGTGTTTCAAAATGCATTGTTCGGGGATACAGAAGGGCAGACTATCACGGTATGAGATCGATAACTTAAATTTGTACAATTTGTGACTTGGTCGTTTCTTTAATTAAATCTTAAAATTTGGTTTTCAATAGAGAATTCTTTCATTAACACAAGCATAACTTTGAAACAATATGCACAAGAAAAACGAGTACGTCCCTTCCTTGTTGCTGTAAAAATGATTATTGTGTTGTACTCTACATGTATGACCACAGGGAGCACAGGCTCTTTATCAGTGGATCTTATGTACACCACCCCTCCCCTCCCCTCTATATTTACCGTTATTTTGMAGAGTTTATGTGGTGTTATTGAATCGAGAATTTCTCGCTTAAATTTTAATAAATCGAAACAAAACTCGAACCTGTTGCTACTGATGTATTGTGCAATCCCCTGACGAAGTTTCAGCCGATTTCCTTAAGTTTAAGTTTGGTGGGGAGAAAGGCACTTAAACTCAAGGAAATCGGCTGAAACTTCGTCAGGGGWTTGCACAATACATCAATAGCAACAGGTTCGAGTTTTGTTTCGATTTATTAAAATTTAAGCGAGAAATTCTCGATTCAATAACACCACATAAACTCTTCAAAATAACGGTAAATATAGAGGGGAGGGGAGGGGTGGTGTACATAAGATCCACTGATAAAGAGCCTGTGCTCCCTGTGGTATGACATAGCTATTAAAGCAGAAACCGAAGAAGAAGCTTGTTCACACTTGACAGAAACATGTTCTTTTGCTTATGGTGTCCCATTTCACACTCATAATCTTTCAACATAAGCAGAAACGTTTCCATTTTCATCTGCTTCTGTCTCTGCTTCTGTTTTCCCCGGTTCACACATACAAAATACACTCCTTCCGCTTCTGCTTATGTCACAATGTGAASCGGCCCTTATCACTATGTTTATGTGATTTATAGGAGTTAAAACAGTCCCTTAGGCTTTTCATTGTTTTGTTCTGAAAATGTCCTATCTGTCCTAGGGTCCTAGTGTCCTATTMGTGATTACCGTATTTACTCATGTACAAGCAYTTTTTTKCCAAAAAAATCGTTCCCAAATTAGGGGTGCGGCTTATCTACRAGAAGACTTGTAAAAATGYTGGAAAAAAGGTAATTTGCATAAATTAGCATGCCCTGTACTACTTACTGCAGACAATTGTTACTATGAATTCTCCGAAAAAATCTAACTCCGAGAAACACAAGTCAATAAATCAAACTGAAAAGTGTGTGGTTATTGAGCCAATGAACAGAGAGCATTTTAAATCATTTTGTCTTGGAGTTGTTTTGGTAACGCAATGCTAATTTGCATTGTTCATATAAGCAATTTTGTCACACTTTAAGTGAAGAATCCAGGGTAAATATTTTGAATACGCAAGAAATAGTTCCTTATTTTAAACAAATTACAATCTGCTTTAATATTTTTTTGAAATACAAAACGGTTTGGCATGATCCGCACCATGCGATTTATCACTTTAATTACTAGTTTGCTTTTACCTTTTGAATGAAAAACAACTCTTTAAATATGGTATCAATTATCAATCTAAACAATTATRCCTACACAATAAACTCCAAGAGCATCTTAGTATACTGCACGTTAAATAAACTGATCATAAATGCATACGCAATGCAATGGATCACAGAAATCAASCAGCAGGAAAGCCTTTAAAATCAAAGAAATCGCAGGTGGCAATCACAAAGAGAAAAGTTTATTTTCAGTCTTTTTCTTCCGCAAAACGTTCCCAAAACTCGGAGTGTGGCTTATCTACGAGAGCGGCTTATACATGAGTAAATATGTTAATATTTGTATCACAGGATTCCTGTTGTTCTGTCCTAGTTCATGTGTTGTATGTATTTATAATTATTTAGTTGAGTCTGGTATTTAGWAATGGAGCCAAGGTTTAAATGTCTAGGACTTAAGTCTTGGTATTATAGATCAAATGTGTGATTTRAATCGATTAGTATTAGGGAAATACATCTAGGAAAACTGGGGACTGTTACACCAAGAAAGAACMAATTTTATTTGATTTATGATTTCRTATATGAGTTCTGCGACAAAGTYTTTAGCTGGCATTATTGATGTTCAAAGMSCATGAGTAGGCCATGTTCTTGTACAGTAAAGACTGTGATTCTATAARAAACWTTGATTATTCAAAGGACAATTGCAAATAATGATGTGTTTTTGTAGCTGATATCTTAGAGGAGGTTCAACCTAGAATAGAAGCTCTAGGGCTTGTTGCTGTATGTCTTGGTGGAGGAAGAATTGATCACCAACCAGGAAGCAATAGTATTATGGTCTATGGATATTCTATGGTAAGTATTCAACACAGCTAGCCCAAGACTAGATTCAGTCTGTTGTCATGACTACAGTAAAAGTGACAGTAATAACTAAGTGTGAAGTGATTGTTTAACTTAATATTATTTAGCTTGTATTGAGTGTCCAGTGTACACCATCATTGAACAGTCACAGAAAAGGCAAAAATAGATGTAGTTCTCATTGATATAATGTGCTCTAAATGTTGTTTTGTTTCTGTAGGGATTTGGACGAGCAGATCACCAAGAAACTGTCAGGATATTACAAGCTAACTATCCTTCATACAACATATCTTGGTCAAATGATGGGTATTGAGATTGCCGCGGAGGGAAATATGGCTTAACCAGGGCATAATGAAACTGGGTCGTYGAAGAACAAGGACAATGTATACTTAGATGAAATTAAGTGACAATGAATTYCCTTGTAATAGACTTCCTCAGTATTTTACAATGTTTGCGAGCTTTTCTGAAATACAAAATCATGGTGCATTGTTKTCTAGCTTTAGTAAAAACARCACCATATTTGRACAAAAGTTGTTTGTACCTTATCTATACCACAATGCAATGCATGATACTGTTACAAAAGGCTTATTCCTTGGAAATAGAAACCTTTGATTATTT